CAAGAAATATTTCTATAACAGTACAATGGGTTGGGAGATCAGCTAATGCTTTTGCTGATGTCTTGGCAAAACAAGGGATAAATAGGGAAACATTGTTCTGGGCAYAATTGTAACTATTGTTTTARTTTCAACATTCATGTTTTCTCTGTTGTAGTTTGTGTATTTGCTGTTTGGAGAGGCTGCTCCTCGCGCCTCTAAGGGGATCTTCTTGTATCTATTCATTATTTTAATGGAATTGGTGTTATTTATAAAAAGAAAAAGGTCCTTTCTAGACCAGAATTATGCTCTGATACCATATATTCTCTCCTGGAGAGAGAGAGAGATGAGAGAGAAGAGAAGAGAGAGGAGAAGAGAAGGGAGAGAGAGATCCAATTGGGGGTCAAAAACTATAGCTGGCGGCACCCAGCTTGTTATTTATATTCACTTAATATAAAAGGATAAGAAGTTACAAGTATGCCCCTGGCAGCACTTCCTAATAACAAACAAATAAAAAAGAAAGAAAAGAAACTAGCTGACAGCATACTAACAACAACTGTGGAGTAACAAATAAATAAGCTTCACAACATGCTGTATTTGGGCTACTGTGTAGCAAGGATCTGTAAACTTTTTTCAAGCATTAATAAATAACTCATTTTGCTGATAAAAAAAAAGTAAGGGTAGAGTTAGTCAACTTCCTAAACCATAGGGGTACTTTAAGAAATTTGACCTTGTGAATGGAGTTACTTATGCTTCAAGCAAGGTGTTAAAAATTTTAGAGGATGCTGAAGAAGGTTCAAAACGATTCCTGGGAAAGACTACAAATGTTTTTGGGAGGGGTGAGTACAAATGATACGTAACAAAATACACCTATGCTAATGGGGAGTGTTTTGGAAATTGGGATCTGACGTGATTCTATCCAAGAAAATCTAAGAGCTCATTCGATTCTGGAGAAATTGAGTGTAGAGCCTAGAGCTAATGAAAGTCTAAGAGCTGTTTCCTCCTATTCTCATCTAGGTAAGGTTGAGGAAGTTTTGATTTTGTGTTTAGGGGTAGAGAAAGAGCTTATTGATGACATATCCTTCAACCATGGTACCTCAGAATACCAGTGCGCTATGATGGAGGTAGGCTTCACCGATTCCTTCTTGTTCTCAGAGTTTGATAAGGGGAAGAGTTTTGAGAATAAACAATCAAAGAAGTTGGGGGATGCTCTTACCATGACGTTGTGTACAGGCCAGACTCTAGCTTTGATTCCTGATGATGATGGGGGAAGAATAGAAGAGGGGCTCTACCCCTCAAGCTCAGAAAGGACAGAGGGAAAATTAGATGAGGGGTTTCACTCTGTTATGTTTAGCCCTGAACTTGTAGATTGGGGTGGAGATAAAGAAAGGATGGGTATCTCTTCTTCCAAGGTTTACTTAAGGAAGAGACCTTATCGAACATGACCTTTATTGAGGAAGAAAAACCTAGGAAGATAATGATTCTTCTGATGAAGCTGAGAGTTGCCTTGGTGTAAATAAAATAAAACAATTCATCAAAAAAAAAAAAAGAAAACAGAAGTAACTGCTCTCTCAACAATAGAATCTCTTGGGTTGCAATTCAAGGGTGAAGACATCCATTCTATGTGAATTTATTGACATGACAGAGGTGGAAGAAATGGAATGGGTAATTAACTATAGAAGGGTGGAGAAAGAGAGATTGCTTGAATCATGATTCAACTTCAAATTCAATTCCATGTTGGAATGGTTTGAATTGTTACTTGAGTAAAACAACCCCCCAGGGCCCCCAGGGTTCTAGGCACTGATGTCTAGTGGTCTTATGGAATTTTATGATAATTTTAATGCTGCTTCCTTTTCATGAAATGTAATTTGAATAGTAGAATAGGTGCTTTTAGTGTGCATAACTTGTCTCATTTTCCATCTTGAGTTGGTTTACTGGTCACTTGTATGAGATGGCTGACCATCTATCTGATTCTGAAAATGTTGATTTCAAGCCTATATTTTCACACCACTTCTACTTACGGTATACTCATAGATATGGTAGAATAAGCAGCCTAAGTTCAAGTCTTGAGAGTTTAAGTTTCTTCTGTAACAGGTAACCAAGCTTCATGAGGAGTTCTTTCTTCCAGGAGAAGTCATTTTGGATCAAGGAAATGTAGTAGATCAACTTTATTTTGTCTGCCATGGTGTGCTGGTATAAATCACTATCTTATAACAACTGCTACATTTATCATTTTACGTAACCAACAGCTCAAGTCTTAAAATTCATTCATTTATGTTCAGCTTTTTTTGGTTGTTTTATAAAAAACTGGATGATGTCTGTCTTCCATAAGTTATATGGCATATCTTTTGCCTAGAATCACCCTCAATAGTATAAATAAACAAAATTATTTCATCATTTGCACATGCAAAATTATGTAAAATGGATGTTCATATCAAACAAAATTTGAGCCTTTTCCAATGTTTTGGAAACTGGACCGGGTGGTTGAACCAGTTGAACCATGACCGGGGCCTTGGCTGGTACAGTCGCACACACCAAGAAATCTAATTGTTAAAAACCCCATGAAAACCAGCTGACCGACCAATTTAACTGGAAAACTGGTGAACTGGTCCTGGTTTCATGAAACTGCCTGGGTGATTGAGTGATTGAAATTTTAAAATGTGTGTAACAAGATTTGAACCCATGACCTCCTATTTTCATGTTTTGCTTAATTATCATTAGTCCACCTCTTTGTGTTAATTAATGACACTTTATTGTATATATTACTCTATTATATATGTATTTTAAAAAAAATGTAAAGTAAGAGACTTGAACCCTGGTCATTTGCATTAAAAATTAAGAAACTTGCTATCCATCCATCATATTTAAGTATAATAAAAGTTGTAAAATATATTATATATTGTATTTATATGACCTGTAGTTTATAAAAATATATGCTACATCATCACGGTTCGACCCCAGTTGAACCTCTGACCCGTGAACCTCTCCCTTCCGGTTCTATGCCCGGTCCGGTTTTTTGAACTTGGTCTTTTCTTCTCAAAACTCAGGTCTTTCCATATTTAATTAAAACTTTAACCTATATAGATTCCTTTTTAGTATGATTTGTTAAAACAGACCGTTTTACGCATTTTAAAAGTATCAATGCTACAAAATATACCTAGAAATGACCATGCGATACCTGTTGTTGTATGGGGTATGTCATGTCCAACACCAGTACGCTAGGCATGTACTGGTATCTTGGTATCATAGAATAAATGATCATATATGAGGACATTTTTTCACTATATGTATTCTGTTCACAGTATATTTGTGATTTGTCTCCATTTGTCAACCTCACTGTATATGCGTTTCTGCATTTTTCAACAGTTTGTACTGATGCAAGATGTTTCCATGTACAGGAGGAGGTAGGCATAGGGGAAAATGGAACAGAAGACACCATTTCGATTCTAAAACCTAATAGCACATTTGGGGAGGTTTCGATTCTTTGCAACATTCCTCAGCCTTACATAGTTAGAGTGTGTGAACTCTGTAGGCTCCTGCGACTTGATAAACAATCATTCATGAATATTCTACAGATATACTTTTTTGATGGGCGGACAATTTTGAACAACCTTGTTGAGGTTAGCCATGTACAATTGTAGTTAATCCCATTTTCCTTTTAGTACTTTTTAGCACTTCCTATGTAGTTGAAGTTCTTAGAAATGCATACAATGCATTTGGCAATATATATGTAATGCATTGTTAAATCTATTCTATCTGTTTATTATTTATTTACAGAATTATTTTTATTGCAAATAAGATTTTTTTTTTCATTTATAATATTCTCATTGATAGAAGTAACTATATATTATATTTCTAACAGCATGTCAATTGATAGGGAAAAGAATCCAATCTTCGGATGAAGCAAATTAAATCTGACATAACATTTCACATTGGAAGGCAAGAAGCTGAGCTTGCTTTGAGGGTGAATAATGCTGTTTATCATGGAGACTTGTACCAGCTGAGGAGTTTAATCCATGCAGGAGCAAATCCCAATAAGACAGATTATGATGGAAGGTCACCTTTGGTAAGAATTTCATCTATGGATATTCTTAATAATTCATCCAGTTAGTATTTTTTTTTTCATTGTGCAATTGAAAATGAAAACTGAAGCATCCTTTTGTTTTATATAAGAAGAAAACGAGTCCAACAATTTCTTAATTGTATAATAAGAAAAATAAGGAAGAAGAAGAGGGAAAGAGCTGTTCAGGAGAAAGAAGAAGAAATTGGATGAAAAGAAGAGAAGAGAGAAGAAATTGTATCTCTCACTTCCATAATCCCTTTATATATGTGCTGGAATAAGTATAAGAGAAATTACATGGGTGCCCCTGGTTAGGGGCTAACCCAAAAAACATAAGAAATAAAGATGTTAAGGGTCCATAGAGATAGCCCATTACAGCAGAAATAAAACAGTAAATAACTGAACCAAACTAAGGCCCATTCGACCTAATCTCTCTACACTCCCCCTCATGTTGGGCATAGATGTTAATCATGCCCAGCTTGCTTACATAGTGTTGGAGCTTTACCTTAGGTACTTCCTTGGTCAAGATGTCTTCTAGTTGTTCCTCTAAAGAGATGAAAGGGGGGTACACTTCGCTTGAGGCCACTCTCTCTTGTATGAAGTGTCTGTTGACCTTAATGTGTTTGGTTTTGTCATGCTGAATCGGGTTATGAGCAATGTTGATGGCAGCCTGATTATCACAATACAACATCAACGGCTTATCATTGTGAAGAATCCTAATGTATTGTATTACTGTAGTCCCTGCTGTACATAGTCTTGTCCTTTTCATATTCTTTGTATTTCTATTTCAGCCGCTCTAAGGGCTCTTTTGTATTTTCTTCTTTTTATCTTTTAGTTCTCCAAGGACTCTTATGTAATTCTTGATATTACTTAATATATATGCTTCTTTGAGGTAGGGGTCAAGTAACCTGTTTAGACACCCTTGAAAACTCTTGCTCTTCTCCTTCGGACTGGTTTGGTGACATGGCATCAGAGCAGGTCGTGCCTACCAGTTGTGGACATGTTTTGTTTCCTGGATATTAGAGGATTGTTTGGCTTTTATTGAACTCAGTTTGGACTTTGGAGATTGTTTGAGGACTATTCTGATCAGCCGAAGGTGATAAGTTTTCTCTGGAAAAGATGCCCAGCCCAATAGGTCAGTGTTTATTTGATTTCTTCAAATTGGCTGGTTCAATCAGCCCAAGACTCTATAGTTAGTGTCACCCTAGACTTCTCTCATTGTGGGTTTTATCTGATTTGAAGTCTGAGTTGTTTTTGCTAGGGTTTTGATCCCATCTGGTGTGTAACAGTCATGAAACATTCCTTTTTTGGACTGTTTTCGACTTAAACTCTCCTTAGTAGGATTTCTGCAGTGTAATCACAATTTGTTTTGTGAGATATTTCTTCAGCAATTGTTTTGAACTATATCTGAGTTTATTTGGGTGATTAATCACTAGGTTTTCTATTTAGCATCGATTTCAGTACTGTGAAACTTGTTTTGAACTGTGGTTGTAATCTGGAATGGCTGAGAAGGCTGATATTATTCCCGTAAAGTTTGATAGAACTAACTGCAACATGTGGAAGTTCCATTTCGATTTCTTTGTTGAGGAAAAAGGTTTGGGGGGATATTTGAATCGTAAGGTCACTATGCCAGGTGAGGCAGATGTGGAGGCCTATTCACAGTGGAAGCTTGATAATGGGAAAATTGTCTCTTGGATACTCAGTTTGGTAGTATCTCATATTGCAGTATCCATGAGAAGAATGCATACTGTCTATGAGATGTATGCATACTTGGAGTAAGTGTATTATCAATCCAATATGCCAAGACAATATCAGATTGAGTCTGAGATTTTTGCTTATTGTCAAGGAGGTAGGAAGATTCAAGAATATTATGCTGGTTTCCTTGACTTGTGGGGGAATATGAACTTGTCCACATAGAATCCTTAGACTCCGCAGAAAATGTCAAGTATCTTCAAAAGCAATTTTAGAAAAGGAAGGTGAATCACTTTCTTATGAGATTGAGACCTGAATATGAAATAATCAGATCTAACAAATTGAGTAGAGGAACTCTTCTAGATTTAGATTCAGTGATGGGTGAACTTTTGAGGGAAGAGACTCAGCTACTTACTACTGCAAGGGAGTAAGAAATCTGGTGTTAAAGACCTTTCAAAAACTCATTGTTACGAATGTAAAGTATTTGGACACATTGCTTCTCATTGCAAGAAGAGGAATGTTTGCACAATCTGGTGTTAAAGACCTTTCAAAAACTCATTGTTACGAATGTAAAGTATTTGGACACATTGCTTCTCATTGCAAGAAGAGGAATGTTTGCACCTATTGCAAACAACATGGTCACATAATTCCGAACTGCCCGGTTAGGCCATCTAAGGGTATTTAGAAAAAGAACCAGCCACGTGCATATCAAGTACCTGAGGGGCAAACCACTGACATCTCTTTTACTAAGGGTGAACCGTCTACATCCATGGATGAGGAAAAAATTCGATAACTGGTATCCTCTGTTATTTCCTTTGCCTTTTCTGCTATCGGCTTGTCTGGTGAGTTTCTGGTTATTGTTCTTCTCAGTTTCATATTTGGATCATTTTTGCAGGAACAACTAATCCTATGAGTGCCTACCTTAAACCCCCAAATAACACTTCTATGACCAACCATAGACATCATTATGGCTAATGGTGAAAAATTGAATATCATTGGTTGTAATGACCTGTCCCTTAAGTTTTCACCTAATGCCTCCTTTCCCCTTTCCAAAACCTTTTTTGTTCCTAATCTTACTGCTAATCTGATTTCTGTTGGACAACTTGTTGATGAAGGCCATACACTTACATACATACCGGTCATTCTCGCAGTCATGGCCAGATGTAAGTGACTGAATTCTTCTTATTTTTTATTCTAAATACTTTCTGTATGCTTGGAGACGGGTTCGAAGTTGCTTATCAGATCTCACTACTGAATGTGTAATAGATGAAGAGGTGATTATCTGACTTACCACTTTCCTCTCCTTTACTTCTCAAAGGAAAATAGGATATGCTTTGGTTGTCCCACCTGAAGTACATTCAGTTTAGTATTTCTATTGTTCCTTTTTTGATGAGGGTCCCAGCTAACCAAGTTGGTACAATCTGGGAATTGAACCCCATGTCTCAGAACAAACCACAGAAACATATATATATATAGGCAAACACACACACATTCTAATTGAATCTATGGAGATATACTAGGAGTTTGGCTATATTATCTATATTATACAATTTTTTCTCAGCTTTCAATTATAATAGCAGATAGAAATATTGGTATCTTGCTAATGTATTAAGTTGCTATTCCATCCACAGGCAGTTATTTTAAAGTTCACATTTATTTATGTAGACCATGAATCCTTTTGTAGTGCCCCACTTAGCTGTCTGAGGATCCATGTCAAGGTACTATTGCAAGAGGTATATTGATACAACTATAAAGATAATTTTAAGCAAGTCTCAAAGAAAGAAATTGAAGAAAAAGGGTCAGATATTAGACCTGCAGAATGTCAACCAGAAAGAGTAGACTGATTGAAGAAGGGTCAAACCTTGTTTAGTTTGGTTGAAATTCGGTGGCAAAGTACCCTTATAGTGCTCAAATACTGTAGATTTTCAGTTCAATCTAGCATGTGGAAGTGTCCTAACTAAAGGCTTCAAGATGACTGATTTTTGGATTCTTCAAGCTGTGGTCAACATCAAAGTCAACAGGTTGACCTGTGGACCTACTGGCATTTATAATAATTCCCATGGTTGTGATTTATGGTAAGTTTCAGAATTACTTTTTTTTGTAAATCCTGGTTCTTTATATTAATTTTCTTTTATTAGAATTAGAAAGTTAAGTGTCATAGTTTGAAAAAGAAGTTTCTACTTATTCTGAAGTTTGAATCTAAGTGCAAGTTGAAAGTAGTTGTTTTCTGGTCTAGAAAAGAGTGTCAGCAGGTATTGTAGAGAGCATTGTATTCTGTTCAATTCTTTTTTATTGGTCTTGCGAAGGAGTGAAGAACGACTTAATTTCCTGTTTTTACCATAGCCAATAGCTATGGTAGAAGTTATTCTTGATACCTCTTTATTTTCTCTTCTTTATTTGTTTGTTAATACCTGTTGCTGAAGCTATTGTTGTGTTGTAGATATTTTCTTCTTCATTATATATAGGTCCTCTATTACTTCATTTTGAAGAAATAGCAACCATGTAGCTTTGTCCTTGTCTATAAAGTTTTGAACATTCTTTGGTTTGTGGATATTAGACTGTATCACTAGGGTAGCCCTTTTACTGTCATGGTAGCATGAGTATATATGACATTACATGTAAGATATATTTAATCTTGTCTTAATTATTGATTAAGACTATAAATTATCTCCTCATTCTTCTTTTTCATTTTTCTAAGACTTTTAACATGTTTTTTTTTGGGTTGACCTTGTAACTCAATTGAAACTCTTGCTTGGCAACCATGAGATCATGGTTCGTTTACCAAAGAGGAAGTGAAATATTGTAGCATTTTATATATGGAAATAAACCTTATTGTAGTTCTTGTGTAGGTTTATATGGTCGTTACTCTAGAAGTTTGAAACTGTTAGGCCTTGTTTGTTTTTCAAAAAGCTATTTACTTGGGTAAGTTCACATACCTAGGTAAGTGAACTTACCTGTGTTCTTTTGGTTCTCAGGTAAATTAAAATTATAAAATGACTCTTTTATCCATAAAAAGTCGTTGTTAGAATGGGAAAAATTGTCCCAGCATATTGTGTCAACTTTTCCCTTAGGTGGGAAAGTTACTTACCCCACCTGGGAGATGGGTATCACCTACCTGGGTAAGTGATACCTAGGGAAAGTGATTTTTCCTTGAGTCCTACATGAACGTGAAAGACAAATTTGGGAAAAGCTGTCAATGAGAACCACAATCCCATTGACCGACTCCCCCCTTTAGAATCTGAAAAAACAAATGGGGGGCCTTAAATAAATGATTATTTATGCATCATATATTGGAAAGGTTCTGTATTAAATTTGTTAAGTGTTTCATACATAACCAAAGAAATATTCATTTTCCTGATTCAAAAGGGCTTCTTTTGATAGCATCTTGCAGCATCAAGAGGATATGAAGATATTACATTTTTCCTTATTCAAAAAGGGGTCAACATCAACAATTCAGGTATCCTTCTTATGCTTTACATTCTTGCACTGCCTTGGCTTTTTAATATTCTCTTTGGCATTTTGTCTTACCAATATATTTTATGAAAATCATTGTCAAATAGATAAATTTGGAAATACGCCCTTACTAGAAGCCATCAAGAACGGACATGATCGAGTGGCTTCTTTACTTGTCAAGGAAGGGGCATCACTAAATATTGCTGATGCTAGTAGTCATCTTTGTCAGGCAGTTATAAGAGGAGACTCAGATTTCCTGAAAAGAGTTTTATCCAATGGCCTCGATCCAAACTCCAAAGATTATGATCATCGAACACCACTTCATGTAGCTGCTGCAGAGGGATTATATTCGATGGCAAAAATATTGATAGAGGCTGGGGCAAGTGTTTTCTCCAAGGACAGGTATTATTGACATATCCAACCATTAAGACATGAAGAACCCATGTTTATATGCACCTTTTTTTAGCATGCCATTTAAAATCATAATAGGCTAGAGATGATGGTTTCAAATAGTTAAACTACTCTATTATCTACCTCCATTCATTTACATATTGGAATACTCATTCTAAATATATCTGATCTTCTATTTGTTGCTAGGATTCTCATTTATTTTATTTCTTTGACTTGGGCTTCAAACTCTTAGTCTAAGCATCTCTTGTTTAATCTACTCAATTAAATTTTGAAGTACTAAGAAGAAAACAGATATTAGAGGAAGAATAATAAATGAGAGAAAACCCTAGGAAAAAAATGAATGAGAGAAAATATAAAGAGGGGAGAGAGGTTTGTGAGTCAAAAAGAGAACATTCAGACAGTTATTGACTATCCTCTTTTCTTTTATTCATAATCATATGTGTGGTTACAATCACCGATAGAATTACTAGTCTTCCCTTCATTGACACATAACAAAAGCCCTAACTAATCTTACTAAGAAATGACTTATATGCCCGATAAAAGAAAGGTAAAATACCATACTACCAAATCAATATCAGAAATTGAAGAGTAACTAATTTATTCTATACAGTCCCCCTCAAGTTGAGTGTAGATGCTAATCATGCTCAACTGCTGAGATTATCATCAAACCAAGGTTTAGCAACTCCTTTAATGAAAATATCAGTCAGCTGTTTTTTGGATTTCTCAAAAAGTGGGCAGACTTCTCTATTATAATCTTTTTCCTGAATGAAATGCTGATCCACATTGATATGCTTGGTTCTTTAATATTATACTGTATTTTGAGATAATATTAATTGTTTCCCAATTTAACAAATACAGCCAAAGATCCTTAAACATGGTACCTAATTCACTAAGAATTTTCATCCATAATAAATCTGCAACATTGTATGCCGTAGCTTTTATACTCCTTTGGCATATCACCTTGAGATTGGGCTGATAATATTTGTTTTTTATTTTTAAAGTTTAGCTAGAGTTATTGGACCTAAGGCCTATTAGTTTATGTTTAGTTAAGAGTGTTTACTTGTGTCGTTAGTAATAGCTGATTTACTAAGGGTACTTGCCATTGTATTCATTTTTAATTATGAGTATATAAGATATGAAAGGGGTGGCCAAATGGTTTTTTTTTTTTTGGTTTCTCCCCATTCTCTTCAACCTTTCTCTTCTTCTCTTCTCTTCACAAATTTTCCCTTTCTTGTTTTTTTTTTCACAGATTTCAAAGCAGATCAGATTTATTGAACTTTCAACTTGGTATCAGAGCAACTTTAGTAATTTTTTGAGCTGTTCCATCATGCAGCTCTAGATCAGCCGATTGCATGACGAGTTAAAGAGCTGATCGAGGACTTCAAGAGTGCCTGATTTTTGGATTTTTTGGAGGATCTACAATCCCTTGTAGCAGGTCTAGGGTTTATCACCAAAATAAGGAAGAACTGGATAAACGGGAAGAATCCTGATTGCAGTAGTACTCTTCAATTTTGACCTAGGAAGTGATGCACCAGTTTTTTAGGTTTCTAGGCATTTTCTGAGGGTGGTTCAAGTCCCAGGATTTTTGGAGGTCTCTAGAGGGAGTGACAGCCTCTTCTTCTCTTTACCTACTCCCACGGAGAAGGGAATCTTGGTGTTTGAGGCTTCTAAAGGGGATATTTTTTTTCCTTTCATATCCAATTGATTTCCTAATTTGTTTTGGGAGTTATGGAGGGTTGTGGTGTTGAATATAAATCTACAGGTGAAATGAAACCAGGTGGAAGTGGTGCTAGTGACTCCTTCAGGGCAGGGACCATCACTGTAGTCAAGTTGGATGGTACAAACTACTTAGAATAATCACTATATGCAAAGATGGCCATTGGAGCTTGTGGAAAATTGGGGTGTCATCGGTGAAGAGAAGAAATCTGACTAACTACTCCCGGTGGGTACAGGAGAACTACATGGTGATGACTTGGCTGTGCAATTTCGTGTTACCCCATACAAGTAGCAGAATTGAAAATGTTTTTTTTTTTTTTTGATAGGAAACGATAACTTTCATTAGAGAATTGAAAAGATTACAGGCTTACCACCCACAAAATGGATGGAAAAAGAAAAACAAAAACTTATAAATAGGCCCAAAACAAAGCCTCCCTAGTAACTCCTTGCTTAGCTAAAGTGTCGGCCATTCCATTTTCTGACCTTCTTACCTGTTGAAGTTCGACCTGCCCTAGAATTCTGTCTTGTTCGTTGACTGTAAAGTAAAGTGAACAGCAAGAAGTAGAAGTAGGAGAGGAAAGAAGAAGAGAGAAAAGAGAGAAGGTCT